TTATGTCTAGTGGTCAAGTCTTTGGCCAACAAGGTTACTTCAGCACTCATCAGGCGAGTGAGAGTGGGTTAAGAAATGCTTGTGAAAGTGGATTCCTTGAAACCAATTTTCTCCACGGACAATGCTATTATATATACCCTGGTCATTATGAGCCTAACATATTTTGTTGGTTTTCTGGTAATGTTCAGGTAGTTTAATCCTGTCTAGTAGTAGTACTAATATAGATTTGATCACGTGGGGCCTGCAGACTGCTATGATCGCTACCTATGAATCTGGAAAGAATGTGATACATCCTGGTTCCTTTATAGGGTTTATTATTTTATTTATTATTGCACATTGAGCTGCTGAGTGTTGTGTTAATTGTTGCCGATGGGGAGAGACTCAAGGATCCAGGGACAATAGTCTTACATGTTCTGGAATTGCTGATCACGCACTTCACAGTAAACATTCTTGACAAGTTTCTAAACCTACTCGTCCTCCCACACACACGAAAAGCAGTCTCCTTGCCCATTAATCTCTAGCTTTGTTATAAAAACACGTGATCCGATCACGTGATGTTATCTCATTGTAAACATGGTTTATTTGTTCCGTTCTGGTGAGGTTAGTTAATGGTGATGTCCCTGACCAATGGACGCACTTAAACATCGTGCCTGTTCTAAAAAAAGGGAATTTGACCAAAGTAGATAACTATAGAGGTATTGCACTGACATCTATACTTATATAGTTATCTCATTGTAAATACTAAACAGGAAGTCTGGCGAGCTGGGAGGAACTTTCTGGAAGGGCTGATCTTAATGCATTCTCTGCTCAATATTTATAGCTAATCTAACTAGACTAACGAGCTAGTTAACGAATATATGACATCTAACTTTGCTCTGCAAATACATTATCTTTCGCCGCGATTTATTTCTAGATTTACGCCGCGATTTTGCCTAGTTTGGCATGTCGCGGTGCCACAACAAAAGAAGCAGCTCACACTCACAGACATGAGTGTCCGGAGAAGTATCAAAAATCAATTATGAACTGACTTATAAACAAGGCCGATTATTCATTTTTTGGGAAATCCTTTTGTCCCTGACCATATATGGATATTGTATGGTCCCTGACCATGTATGGATGTCAGAATTACAACTTAAAACCTGAGCTGAGGATTAATCACACCTAAGGCTAATCTCCAGTTTCAAGTTGCGGATTAGAATTAAATCCTGATGTGGGGTTTAGCGTGAGTTTTATCGCAGCACCAAGTTGGGGTTTAATCCCGAACTCGGCAAGGATTAGCCGCACCTCAGGCTCTATTTTTGGCCTGTTCTATCACTCCACCCTCAGAGTCAAGCCTCAGGTTCAAGCCTTAGCTTAAAGCTTCAGATTCAAGCTTCAACTTCAAGCTTCAGCTTCAGCTGCAAGCTTCAGATTCAAGCTTCAGATTCAAGCTTCAGATTCAAGCTTCAGATTCAAGGTTCAGCTTCAAGTTTCAGATTCAAGCTTTAGATTCAAGCTTTAGATTCAAGCTTCAGATTCAAGGTTCAGATTCAAGGTTCAGCTTCAAGTTTCAGATTCAAGCTTCAGATTCAAGCTTCAGATTCAAGCTTCAGATTCAAGCTTGAGATTCAAGCTTCAGATTCAAGCTTCAGATTCAAGCTTCAGATTCAAGGCTCAAGCCATGCGCCCTAATTCTCCTAAGATCATGACGTGTTCTTCAACGTACCTCACCTGAGTTAAGTTGTACACAGCTCGGACAATAATCACATCTTACTGTGGAGTGTGCACGTGTCATAACAATTAACACGTGCTCACTCCACAGTCTTCGGAAGAATAGTGTACACATGGAACATGGTGCAATAGCTAGGGTAATATCATCTAGGTTAACTTGGCGCGTGTACATTATACAAGCTCAATAATCAATATACTCATATAGTCAATAACTCAATAACCACGAGTAGTTTAAGTTTATCAGCGTTATTAATAAACTTCATTAAGTTCTACAATCAGCCGGATTACTAAGATTAGCCTAACAACAGAACATTTTTCCATGGCAACGTGAATATTAAATTGTAGCTATCTTAAGCAATAATCTGTGTGTGTGTGTGTGTGAGAGTGTGTGTGTGTGTGTGTGTGTGTGTGTGTGTGTGTGTGTGTGTGTGTGTGTGTGTGTGTGTGTGTGTGTGTGTGTGTGTGCGAGAGAGTGTGTGTGTGTGTGTGTGTGTGTGTGTGTGTGTGTGTGTGTGTGTGTGTGTCTGTGTGTGTCTGTGTGTGTGTGTGTGTGTGTCTGTGTGTGTGTGTGTGTCTGTGTGTCTGTGTAATTTCCGAGCGGCTTAATCAAGAAAACGGTAAGAGTTACGGGACTGGTTTTTTCGGTATAGTTTCGACAAAACTCTGACAAAGCCAAATGAATTATAAGGTTTTTCAAATTGGTCGGTGGTAAGTGGTTTAATTGATGGTTTTGTACCACAAATGTGACATAAAATGGCTCTCTTTTTCTCCCTCCTCGCTCTCTCTCCCATTACTGCATTATATGTAGCGTTGGTACATGAATCATAATTAGGTTAGCCACAAGATAATACTATAAGCTTATTAGGGGGGATTGCACTTATTGCGGTCTGTTTGGACTGCAGAGAGAGTTGAGAGTTCATACTTTCATACAACAATGTTATGCGTGTTTTCAAATATAATAGGCGGGTGTGGTGCGGAGTTAACAAGGGTTAATTTCTTAAACGATTTAAATAAAAATGGACAGCGGTTCAAGACGGGAGTGATGAGGTGTAATAGTCGTGGTACAGGTTGTACGGACCTTATGATCATGGAATACAGTGCCTAATAATGACTTAATTATCCACGAGAAAGAACTGATTATACGGCAGTGTGTTTGGACTGAGCGAGTTCATACTTTCGCACCGTTTTAACTACGAAAATGTAATGCGTTTTTTAGAATATAATAGGCGGGCTTATACTTTTGCATTTCAACTGTGATAGTGAAGTTCCGGCTGTAGTCACGGGTTACACTAGTAGTGAGTATGATGGCGACGGTCGTGCTTGCCTGCACTGTGATGTGAAGATTCTCCGGATTCATAATTTTCTGCTCAGTGAACAGCAGGTACTGGTAGTTCTTGCTAACCATAATATGTTTATTATAAGTTCTCAAACGTGCACATCACACATGTTAAGTAGTATTCTTTATGATCAAAATCGGGGATGTTTCCAAATAGCAGTCTTATACATCGCTTTGCAATTGCACACATTTTATTCAGCCTATGTTTTGGGATTCCACCCCAGCAACTTATACAATACAAGCTATAAAGCATAAAGAAAATGTGCCATTCTCTAGTGCATAGTGCCGTTCTCCATGCGGTTCGGCTTTGTATTAGAGTATTAGACTTAGAGATTCCTTTAAGACAAGCTGATCGAGAATAGCGACGACTTCAAGTCTCCTTCGTACTCCGTTTTCAGACCTGATTTTAGTCATTTTCCGATACGAGATTGGGGACGGGTTCTATAAACAAACAAACATGAATCAACAAGAACTGATTATGCGATTATGTTAAATATACTATTGGATACGCGAGGGCACTCCGAATAGAATTGCTCACCTAATGCGGGTTTTGACTCAGCGGGTAAATACTCCTACCCTTTTTAACTGCGGCAGTGAAATTCCGGCACTCTTGAGGTGCCTCGGCCTCTAAGCTAGCGAAAAAGGGCTTGTCTCTTGTCCAAATTTTATGGAAATCTGGTTCGACATTGAGCAGGTTTTACATCAGAGAACTCCCAAGGTAGTTAGCCTTATTTCCTTTTCTCGAGCATACCGAAAAACCCCAGATTCCGCCCTGATTATAGAGTGGGATTTTATTCGAATACTTTAAGTAGAAACTTTGTCTGGGTTACTATAGCAACCTACTAGTTACTGTAGCAACACACTTGTTAATTGTTATCATGAATACTTTAAGTAGAAACTTTGCCTGGGTTTACTTACTCGAATACTTTAAGTATAAACTTTGCCTGGGTTACTATAGCAACCCACTAGTTACATTAGCAACACACTTGTTATCATGAATACTTTAAGTAGAAACTTTGCCTGGGTTTACTTACTCGAATACTTTAAGTAGAAACTTTGCCTGGGTTACTATAGCAGCGGCCACTAGTTACTGTAGCAACACACTTGTTATCATGAATACTTTAAGTAGAAACTTTGCCTGGGTTTACTTACTCGAATACTGTAAGTAGAAACTTTGCCTGGGTTACTATAGCAACCCACTAGTTACTGTAGCAACACACTTGTTATCATGAATACTTTAAGTAGAAACTTTGCCTGGGTTTCTTGAGAACGTTTAATGTTGGTTCCTATCAGGGACGCTGATAAAACCGAGAACTAGCTGAGATCACAAATCTCACCCAATATTGTATTTACGTTCTACAAGATTCCCAGTTGGGAATTACGTTTCAAACTCTCCAAGTTTAAACATTTACAGCACATACCACCATGCTTGTAACAAGGTACGATTTTCAATTGTCCTACATAATATTATATAGGTAGACGAAGTGTGTAAACTATACTGTAATGGGCTATTATTGTACTTTACGTTTTACACCATTCCGGTTTAAAGAATGGTTTTAGACGGGAATGGGAACCCCTTTATCCTGTTCACGCAGTCTCGCAGGTAAGCCCACGTGTCACCTCACGTGAGTGGGCGAGTCAAGTAGTGCCGGCAGGTGTCCGACCCTGAGGGGCTCCCGGGCTTTTATATCAGCTGATTGGGACCGCCCTATGGATTGCTCACCAAGCCTTATCTTATTCCGATAAGATTACATTGTTTTATTCGAGAGATAATCTGGAACTCCGTTAGTGTAATAAACAAGAATTCGGTTAATATCCGTATAAACGCATTACACACTGATACGTTACCACTTACCATAGCAACATACTGACATGATGATTATACCTCACCATAGCAACACACTGATATGATAAGTTACCATGGCAACAAACATATTCTCCAATAACAGCCAACCTGGTTTTGTCTCCTCAAAGACATCAGAGTTAATGGAGGTGTTGGAGCCGTTTCTACGATGAGACTTGTAGATCATATCATTAACGTTAACAACTTTGTGTTCCTTCTTCTCTGCCTCGCGAGCCTGAGTTAGATTAGAGTATTTATAATAATTAGAGTAATTATAATAATTATAATAATTGGAGTAATTAGAGTAAAGTAAATATGGGAATAATAAAATGATCTCCTGATATTATGGATAAAATATTCTGGTGATTATGTTAATAAAATGATCTCCTGATATTAGGGATAAAGTATTCTGGTGATTATGGTAATAAAATGATTTCAATCCATCCTCCTCAGCATATTATCAATTTGATCCAAACACCCTTTTATCCATAGATCAGACTCTGAGAAAGAATTGGCTCTCGCATTTTAAATTTCTGCTTTTTAATTACGGTGCTATATATCTATAAAACATTTTCATCTTATGCAAAAAAACAACATACATATTAATCAAAGTTATGATGTAATGCGTTAATTGTGTTGCTATTGTCAGCTATGGTAAAGAGTGTTGCTATGACACAAGTGTGATGCTATGGTAACAATTGTGATGCTATGGTAACAAGTGTGATGCTATGGTAACAAGTGTGATGCTATGATAACGAGTGTGATGCTATGGTAACAAGTGTGATGCTATGGTAACAAGTGTGATGCTATGGTAACAATTGTGATGCTATGGTAACAAGTGTGATGCTATGGTAACAAGTGTGATGCTATGGTAACAAGTGTGATGCTATGGTAACAAGTGTGATGCTATGGTAACAAGTGTGATGCTATGGTAACAAGTGTGATGCTATGGTAACAAGTGTCATGCTATGGTAACAGGTGTGATGCTATGGTAACAAGTGTGATGCTATGGTAACAAGTGTCATGCTATGGTAACAAGTGTGATGCTATGGTAACAAGTGTCATGCTATGGTAACAAGTGTGATGCTATGGTAACAAGTGTGATGCTATGATAACGAGTGTGATGCTATGGTGGGTTGCTATAGTGGGTTGCTATGGTAACATACCCAATGAAGTCCGGAGTAGCTGCTACTTTTTCTGAGGCCAGTCCGGTAATAATCACTCGTGCTGTTTCCACTCTGCAATCAGTGCTGTATTTAACAGAACTGTTTCCATGGTAACAACTCCGTTACCGTGGCAACAGGTCTGTGTGCAATGTATTTATCATGCTTTAAAAATGACGTTTATTTTCCCAATTGAAAGAAATGACTATTAATTTAGTTATTTCTTTCGACATTTCAACTATTCTCCAACGCTTTTGTATTTCAGTTCCTATCTAGTTCAAGCCCATTTAAAGATTTCAGATTCATTTTGATTATTTTTGTAGCGAAAGCAGAGTGGGTAAATGCTTGATAAATGGAAAATAAATTGTTGCAACATATCCGAAAGAAAGGTAACAATAATGGCAATGCTTCAAAAAAATGAAAGAAAAGAGCTCGAAATATGAGAAATTCTTGGATTACATTTCAATGTTCAACACATTAAGCTATAATATACACACATATTATTTGCCAGCCATACAACGCTCCAATTCGTGCTTTTGAGAAATAAGGAATGTAAACTCCTGGCAGTCATTTAACACTTATTAACTTCAAATCAGTGTCTGAGTGAGCTAGCTATAGTGATAAAGTGACTTTTAAAATATGGTCACTTATCACTCTCTTGTTATACACAAAATATTAGGATAGACTAAATACGTGCTGTTTTAACATATTGAGATGTTGTATACTTCTGTCTATATAGTTAAGTATTTTCATGAGAAACCATAACACCGACCAGAAGACCCCAACGAGAAAATAAAGTCCGTTGATAGAAGAAATTTGGAAATGTTATCCAACTTTTAGTCCCCGCAAGAAATCACACGTGATTGAAAAGAAGTTCAATGTAACTTGCTAGAAACATTCATATTATTAAATCAATCATATTATTAAATCAGTCATAGCACATTATATAATATTTAGTCCTTTATTGCAGTCACGCAAAAGAATTATACGGTACATTCACACACATAGTCAGTATACAGAAAAACAGTAAATTCAACAAAGTCACACAGTACCACGTCACACAGTACCACGTCACACAGTACCACGTCACACAGTACCACGTCACACAGTACCACGTCACACAGTACCACGTCACACAGTACCACGTCACACAGTACCACGTCACACAGTACCACGTCACACAGTACCACGTCACACAGTACCACTTCACACAGTACTACTTCACACAGTACCACGTCACACAGTACCACGTCACACAGTACCACTTCACACAGTACCACGTCACACAGTACCACGTCCACGTCACACAGTACCACGTCACACAGTACCACGTCACACAGTACCACGTCACACAGTACCACGTCACACAGTACCACGTCACACAGTACCACGTCACACAGTACCACGTCACACAGTACCACGTCACACAGTACCACGTCAGAAAGTACCACTTCACACAGTACCACTTCACACAGTACCACGTCACACAGTACCACTTCACACAGTACCACGTCACACAGTACCACGTCCACGTCACACAGTACCACGTCACACAGTACCACGTCACACAGTACCACTTCACACAGTACCACGTCACACAGTACCACGTCACACAGTACCACGTCACACGGTACCACGTCACACAGTACCACGTCACACAGTACCACGTCACACAGTACCACGTCACACGGTACCACGTCACACAGTACCACGTCACACAGTACCACGTCACACAGTACCACTTCACACAGTACCACGTCACACAGTACCACGTCACACAGTACCACGTCACACGGTACCACGTCACACAGTACCACGTCACACAGTACCACGTCACACAGTACCACGTCACACAGTACCACGTCACACGGTACCACGTCACACAGTACCACGTCACACAGTACCACGTCACACAGTACCACGTCACACAGTACCACGTCACACAGTACCACGTCACACAGTACCACGTCACACAGTACCACGTCACTGTACCGTTGTACGTTGTCTATAAGCAGGGGGTTTATCGCTTGTTGTATGTGATCTGAGTGGCGGCAGTTTGCTGCTTCTACTCGTTACCAAGACATTATTCCTATCTCTTCTAGAACTCTGCTCACTAGACCTGATCCTCTCTCTCGGTGTCTCCATAGCAACCCCCTGAGAGCGTGCTCCCTTCCTCCCGTCACTTCTCTCTAGTGAGTTCTGTGTCTCTGTTAGATCTTGTGACGTCACGTGAGGTGGCTGATCACGTGATATCACATACTTATTACATACTTTCTCACTACCACGTGGGACATCTCATAGCTTATTTAATACCTTATTTGGGCATCACGTGTTACCTTCCCAATCACTCCCTGACTCTCTCTGTCTACATTGATCTAGTTCTAGTAACTACTAGTTGCACTAGTGTTACTGTGTATTATTGGTTACGAGTGTGAGCTAATATTACAGTATTACACAGAGCTAGAGGTCTTAGTATTATGTATAGTGGGTTGCTATGGTAACAGCGTATAGTGCACCCTATTCCATACCGGTAGACTAATAGTTGCTCCCAACACGCACAATTACACACATTACAGTTTCTTCAATCCAGATCATACGATATATTTTTATAGTTTCAGAGTAAATTAATACCCGTTAATGTTCGAAGTCGAACAAACAGAGCCGCTATGTAACTATGAGGGCCGCTACTATATAAGATGCTATCTCAGACAGGTGCTTTAATAGTGCTGTATTTAATTAACGAACTACAAGCATTGAATTAATAAGTTACACAGAGTTGACAGATATGACGTCACGCGACGAGATGTGACGTCACGCGATATGAAGTCACGTGACGAGCGTTACGATATTAGTTAGTTTAAAGAAGAGTTGGGATAACTACTGAGGAGAAAACTAAATTCCTGTAAATTGGTTACTCGAGCTGCTCACCCCGAAATGGACACATCAAGTGGAAAAATCAAAACAAATTTATTAAAACAACTTATTCACCATTTAAACGTATGTAAATAAGTAATTAAGTAATAAGGCAATTAATTGATCAAATAATTTGTTGGTCAAGTGATTAAATAATGCAATGGTTGAAAATTTATCGATTAAGGAATTGAATAAAAAATTGATTAAGTAATTTAGTAATTACCGATCTGCGGGAAGCTCGGGGAGTGTAAATGTTGTCCAAACTGCGTTCAGAGCTCCGGTCCCTGGATGCCCTGGATGTGTAGGCACTACTAGTGTACGCGTTATTAGCGTTACTCCCAGCGTCATAATCTGAAGGCGTGGCATCATATTATGGGGAGTGTGACGTCACGTGAGGGGGGAGTGTGACGTCACGTGAGGGAGAGTGTGACGTCACGTTAGGGCGAGTGTAACATCACACGAGGGAGAGTGTGACGTCACATGAGGGAAAGTGTGACGTCACGTTAGGAGGAGTGTGACGTCACGTTAGGGGGGAGTGTGACGTCACAAGAGGGAGAGTGTGACGTCACGTTAGGGCGAGTGTAACATCACATGAGGGAGAGTGTGACGTCATGTTAGGGGGAGTGTGACGTCACGTGAGGGAGAGTGTGACGTCACATGAGAGAAAGTGTTACGTCACGTTAGGCGGAGTGTGACGTCACGTTAGGGGGAGTGTGATGTCACGCGAGAGGGAGTGTGATGTCACGCGAGAGGGAATGTGACGTAACGATATGGGGAGTGTGGAGTTACGTGAGGAAGTGTGAAATGTCATGTGATAGAAAGTGGGATGTACCGTGAGAGAGATGATATTGTCACATTAAGGGGAGTGATGAATTTATCAATGAATTTATTTTGTCGATAGCAAATCGTAAATGAATAACACTAAGTTTTTGGTCAAAAGAAAGTTCGAAAAAAACAAGTACCTCTCGCTGAAGATCTTCCGATAGCACTTGATCCTCCATATCCTGTAAACATGAGAATAATAGACGACGTCCAACAAGTACAAGCTGCAGTTGTTAACTATGACAAGGTTGAAAATATCCCCAAAAGTCTACTTATGTTATCTTAAACAAGGTTTTAGTTTCACTGATTGAAACTAAAGAACCTTCGTATTAATAAGTTAAGAAGATGATGTAACTAAAAAGTGAAGGTGACAGGTAACGACAATTAACTAGAAAATCAAACCAGTAATGGTATCATAGCATCACGTTTAGTACCATAACAAAAAGTACCATAGCAACAAGTACCGTACCAAAAATTACCATAACTATAAGAACGAGTACTAATTACTGAACCTGTTCCAGCGCTGTAATTAGATGTCCCGTAGGATGAGGAGTAGTTAGAGCTACCATAACCCCCTACACCAGAACCTGATGTGTTGGACAAGTTTAACAACATCAAAATATCACTCTCATGAATAACAAACGACTTACAAGTAACCGAAATGTGTGCTGAAATCAGTTGATAAATCCAAACTAGGTAGGTTTTATTGACGAGTTCGACAGATATTCTGGCAGCAATTTTCTGCTGGTGAACACACACCAAGGTTAAGTCACATCACTGTATTTTGAAGGTTAAATTACAATGAAAGGAAAGTTTTTAAAGCCAAATTAACAGATCCTCACCATAAGTCGGGGTCCTGGAACTGGAAGGAGTGTAGGAGGAATCGTAGCTAGAAGTCCCTGTGGAGCCCGTGTAGCCTCCATATCCACTACTACTGCCATAACCAGACGAGGTGGTCCCGTAACCACTGGATTTTGTACTTCCGTACCTCGAGGGGCTGCCGGACGAGCCGCTTCCTGATCTGCGGGAGAAACACTTTCACTTTCGGTCTCACTTTCAGTTTCAGTTTCAGCTTCACGGTTTGTTTCGACTTCATACGTGAAAAACGAAACATTTTAAATCATGCACAAGTTATACCATCGACCAAAGCTAACGAGAATTAACGGATAGATATTTTCCAGGAAAATTACAAGATTACAATGATCAACGCTTGCCCAAGTAATTTTAACCAGTACAACAGTTAAATAAGCCGTGATACAATGTCCCAGCATAATGGTACCCCCACAAAACAGTTCTAGAGATGACACGTGATACCCAAACAAAGTAACACGTGATGCCCAAATAAGGTAAGTTCAGTGCTTCGTTTCACCTTTTGATGCCCCTCATCTAGTGCACTGTCTAAGAGTTCGCAGCTCGGCAAAGTAAGAGCGACTATAAGCGCAAAGAAGCGGGGAGAACTATGTCAACTATGTGAGGTGTACAACTATATGATAGGAAAAATTAGAACTGTATTACCGGACTGGACTTCTGAACGTAAACTTCATTTTTGGCGAGGAAACACGAAAAAGGGATCAGCTACTGTCGGTTCAGCCTAACTTAACGATATCGTAGGTCAGCAAAACGCTCGTTGTAGAATATAACGTTTAGCAGGGGTAAAGGTATGTTAACAAAGAGATATAAGTCGGCGTATTGTCACGTGACTTTTAAATTGTCAGAGACCCTGCCTTCAGGTATATTACAAACATTTAAAAGTAACATGTGCGGCAAATGCACCATGCTACAAGGCGTCAAACATCGCTGCTCATGGACGTTAAGAAATTCTAATGTTGACTGGAGTTGTTGAAAAGCCGGTAGACTTTCAACATCGTATGGTTTACCGAAGGTGAGAAAATACGCACGATCAGAGACTCTAGAGACCACTATATAGATTCTGATCAACCTGAGAGTGTGTTTCTTACCCGTATCGATTTCTGGAAAATGTGCTGAAGAATGACATCTGATTGTAGAACTACACATCAAAAAACAAAAAGTTATACATAGTCTACAACTATAAGTTATCCAATTAATGTACAGGCTCAGGTGAGAAGTCACGTGACTTGAGTTTGTTGCAGTAACCTATACCAGGTGACTGGCACGTGACTACTGCACGCAACACAGTGATGATAGAATGTGACAACATTAAAACACTAATATAATTTCGTACATGAAAATTCCATGCAGTGCACGGGGGAATGTAGGATGCAATGGATTCCTCGATCGTAATTCGACGAATAAAAATAGAGCCGCTATATTTTTGAACGTGCCGTCTGAGGCATGCCTGAATTTCCTGGCCCATTCTCCGAGAAGCAGCTAATTAGACCGATATTATCCTAATTACTAGCTCTACGTAAACGGAAAGTTGACAAGCCGGCCTGCTATACGAACCTGATGTTAGTGAGTGACAAAAAGAAACCGTAAAGCAGCTTAAAAATTTGCGATATGTTGCTCAATCTTCAAGACAGTATGTTGGATCATATAGGTAAACAAATCGGTGAGTGCAAATGAGTGCGTATAGCATTCGGACTTGCCAGTTTCTGGTATGACGCATATGAAGTGTTAGTTCCGACAGCGAATCTTAGTCCAGTCGTCTATGAAATATTTGTCACTTGAAAGAATTAGACCCGCAAAGTTCTCCTGTGTGATCACCGCCTCTATATAGCAATCTCCAGATCTGATAGCCAATCAATTAGTATCCTTGTGACCAAAAGCTTATGTCATGGTTAGTTCTTTGTTTTTTAAATTCTTCCGACACTGAGACTATATGATCCAATCTGTTGGAATCTAGGTCCTTGGCCCAATGACTCCTTGATTAATGGCTTTATACTTATAGTCCATTCCTACCAAAGAAATAGATATCATCTTTTATAATGTTATGGCAAGAGCAATACTTAAATTCTCGGGGCCAATGCAGAGTTTTCAATAGTATTACGTGGTCGTGTCAATGAAATAATAGTTTATTATTATTAGAACTCTCGCCGATGTAATACCGACTGAAAGTGAGATAATACCAATTAAAAATAGATTTATTGATTATGAGATGATGTGACCAGGAGCAAAATTGTAAAACTTTTTCCAATTACTCACTTAAAATATGATTTTATTTTATGAAGGAGCAGTTACTTGATTTCGGGATGGAAATAGAATATCTCGCACTTGCCACCCTTTTGTTGTTATTAGAATGTCGCTTTGTTAAGGCTTTTAGCACAGTCGATGAAGCCTGTATATACATTTGTTGGCAAGGAATAGATTCTCTGTGATGGAGAGTGAAAGAAATATAAGCTTGCTGAGGTCAAAAATTGAAACGTTTCAAGACCTGAGATCTCAGCTGTCACCTCTTCCTTATTTCTTTTGGCTTCCTTACTCTCAGTATCATGGTATGCTGCATTAGTTAATTGAGCACGGGATGCAATTTGCTTTGCTCCTAGTCGCCTACTTTTAATCTTTTGACGATTTTGGGGTTACGACTGTGACAATACTGCCAAATCCAATGATTGAGAAAAATTACTGAGTGATTTCAGCAATTAGCACTGCATATACAATATACATTATACCTGTACTAATTGTTCGTGATAACCCTATTATTTTGAGTTAATTCAATGGTATATTTTCAGAATAAGGTGCCAAACAGAGGTAAAGGAAAAGTACGAGCTGGCAAAAAGGAGAAAAAGGGGAAAAAGTCCGAAAAAACTAAGATTCCAAATCGAGAAATAACATTCGAGTCACTTATGAGTCCGGCGGTTATGCTAAACGCTTATTTCACCTGTCACAATGCTGCCGACTTTCTCAGCATTCGTCCTGTGGTTGGAGTAAAGCGAACTTCAACGTGGTCAAAATATAACTCGGATTGCCCACCCCTTGTCAGATATTAATGATCTTCTGGGCTAAACCCACGAAGGAACTCATATCAGAAGACAGAAATATAATGGTTATGGTCATGATTCATTTATATTAAACACGCGTTTTATAATTCGTTAATTTTAAATAAAGGATTAACACTGAAAGTTTATTAAAAGTTAATTTTGATCGCTGAAGTGAACAAACGTACCCGTAGCTAGTGAGAGTGTAGCTCGGCCGTCTGCTTGCAGTTGAATTTAGCGAAGAGTAGCTCTCCCTAAAAGTGAAAATGTAACTAAAACTAAATAATATTTGTATAGTTTGTTTGTTGATTGAAACGTTCACAAGGCAGAAATGTATTTAAAGATTAATCTCGTTTATCAAAAGAAAGGTTAACTGATAGTACCTGCGTGATGGCGGATTGTAACTACTACTAGATTGTCTGTAAGTCATAATCAGATAATCTGATTCACAACAAAGCCTTCTGCGTCAAAACTCAGCGATCTGATCCACTGTTTTTCTACTACACAAATCAAGGATATCTTAAACAATTCGGCAGAATGTTTTACAACCAAGCAGTCCGGTTTGCAACTACTGTCTGTTTCAGAGATTAGCGTTCTGTTTCAGAGATCTGTTTCCCAATTTAATAGTCTTTACACGTGTTAGAGATTTGCTTCAAGACTTTACAATCAAGCTAAAATGTTAGACTTTCTTGGGAAAAACGATGTATATTTTTAGCAGAACAAGTGTAACACATCTCGACTGGGTAGCAATTATAAAATCTAAATTTGGCAAAACCCGCCGAGAAAAAATTAAAGAGTAATTAGTTTAATCAGTTATAATTTAGTCACTTCCCTCACTGGGAAAATGTAATATGTAACTTGAGATGACGTCATGTAAATTGACTGTAATGGAAATGATGACCAAATTGGTAACCAGCTCACACTTAGTTGATCACATCAATTACTGCCCCATTTTATATTATAATTTAACTTTTATCTAATATTAATTATTAATGCGCTAACATCACACCTTATAACCTCCTTTAACCTTAGTTCTAGCTAGATTTTTCTCAACCCTTAAAAAATCGATCAAGAAAATGGAGTGCTTTGATACTTTGCAGTAGGGGTTAGGAAGAATAAGGGTGAAAATAATTAGGGTTTTAAGAAATAAGAATTGTGGTATGTCATACTGGGGTATGACATACTAGGGTAGCAGGTGCAGAGGTAGTAAGGCGGTAAACATAGTAAATAAACTTTTACTTACTCCAAAAAAATATAAAAACTCCGCTTAAGAGTGACAGTCTACAATCTAGCATAAAATATTAAAACGCATTTTATATTCTGCAAATATTTGCGTCATACGGAGAATTTATCTAATTGTCTAATTGTAAACATGAAGCTGATCACATGACCAGGCCGAACACCTGCCAGTAATGTGCCTGTAATACAGCAGTTAGACAGAATCACCAACAGACTGCTGTTTTTATAGCTAGACGCTGCAGTATGACTACGAGTGATAGTAACTTAAATCGTCACTCGTACCATTGAATAAGGGACACGTGGGGGATGAGTTTGGGTGCCGTTTCGTCAAAATATAAACTGAAAATCACATCAACCTCAAGTGTTTTCCAATTACAAAGAAATTCAAGGTTTAGTCGCGTGCCAAATATTCTACAGTACTATACTGTAGACGGGTTAGAGTTTATGATAAACTGATAAAACATTAGCCAGGCCAGACAACATGCCGTCCAAATTATGTCAAGACAGAAAACCTACTATTAGCTGATTGGTTAGTGAGTAAAATACAGCCCTCTGGTTGGTTAGTGACTAGAATACAGCCCTCTGATTGGTTAGTGACTAGAATACAGCCCTCTGATTGGTTAGTGACTAGAATACAGCCCTCTGATTGGTTAGTGACTATAATACAGCCCTCTGGTTGGTTAGTGACTAGAATACAGCCCTCTGATTGGTTAGTGACTAGAAAACAGCCCTCTGATTGGTTAGTGACTAGAATACAGCCCTCTGATTGGTTAGTGACTAGAATACAGCCCTCTGATTGGTTAGTGACTAGAAAACAGCCCTCTAATTAGTTAGTGACTAGAATACAGCCCTCTGATTAGTTAGTGACTAGAAAACAGCCCTCTGATTGGCGAGTGACTAAAATACAGCCCTCTGATTGGTTAGTGACTAAAATACAGCCCTCTGATTGGTTATTGACTAGAATACAGCCCTCTGGTTGGTTAGTGACTAGAATACAGCCCTCTGATTGGTTAGTGACTAGAAAACAGCCCTCTGATTGGTTAGTGACTAGAATACAGCCCTCTGATTGGTTAGTGACTAGAATACAGCCCTCTGATTGGTTAGTGACTAGAAAACAGCCCTCTAATTAGTTAGTGACTAGAATACAGCCCTCTGATTAGTTAGTGACTAGAAAACAGCCCTCTGATTGGCGAGTGACTAAAATAAAGCCCTCTGATTGGTTAGTGACTAAAATACAGCCCTCTGATTGGTTATTGACTAGAATACAGCCCTCTGGTTGATTAGTGACTAAAATACAGCCCTCTGATTGGTTAGTGACTAAAATACAGCCCTTTAATTGGTTAGTGACTAGAATACAGCAATCTGATTGGTTAGTGACTAAAATACAGCCCTCTGATTGGTTAGTGACTAGAAAACTACTTAGAACACCCAAGGAGCACGTATGTCCACATCTACAACGAGTTTAGTTTATTTCACATTAAAAACTCAGAAAACCTTAAATTAACGTTCTAGCAAGAACTGATGTTTTTCAAAACCTGAGAATATCGTTCATAATCAGGCCAGCCTATAATTAGAGCCGTCGAATTACAAATTTCCTTCGGTCTGAGTGTTTGGGGTTATAAAAAGTAAAACTATTACTCGAGGAGAAAGTGAAACTTGAAA